GACTATCAAAATATGTTGATTATAAAAATGTTAATTGTGAAAATATTGAGGGGCCACAGCCAGGATGAAACAGGGTTGAAATTTGAAGTCTTCGTCATTTTAGCCAGAGATTGTTCCTTAAATTTGAAAAATGTTAATGTTCAAATTACAGCTGAAAAACTGCCCGTTTTGTATACAGATATTGTTTGTAATGAATCAGGTACTTTCCTCTTACTGTCTTAAGATAGGTGCTTGAAAGTTAACCAGATATGCACACACAGTAAAAATTTGTTCAGCTAAATGAGCCATTGAGAGTGGAATTGGTTTACACAGGATCTGAAAAGTTTTGATTCGTTGGATAGCTCTCTCAACGTGTATTCTTGCCTCTGCAATCTTCTCTGAGCGCTTTCCCTCGTGTTTTTTTAGTTGTGATCTGCCTGTTCCTTTAAAATCTGGAATAGTAACCTTCACTCCTTTTTCTTCCATTGCTTCATTGATATCAAATCCTCTGTCAGCCATTAATTCATCCCCTGCCTTTAGGGTAGCAATAAATTCTGCACTGCTTGCTGTGATGTGTTTGTCTGATGTCCTGCCTCCCCATGCTCGAGACACATAAACAATTGCTCCATGTGCATTTATTGCCACTAGAAACTTAAAGGTTGTATGACTCTTGTAATTTGAGTATACTTCTTTGCAGGCCTTTAATGAGGAGGGTTTCTGGGTAAAGATTTCAGTGCAATCCACAATAACTTTGAGGTCAGGGAATGATGAGAACTGATTTGCCTTTCCACATTCCTCATAGTCAGGCATTTGGCAGAGATCTTTTAAGTGGAAATACAGCAGATTAATCCATGCAGAAAAATTTTTGCTGACACTTGCTTCACTGATTCCAAATCTCAATGCCAGATCTGGCAGTGTAAGTCCTACTCTTAATCTAACAGCGACCATGAACAACTCCTCCTCCAATGGCAGCTTGGATGATGGCCCTGGTTTGTTTCCTAACTGACAGTCACGTAAAGCCATTTCAGATCCTCTCCAACATTTTTTTTTTGTCTACACCAACAGCATTTAAATAGTTAAATAATGCTTTGAAGGTGTCATAGTTAGGGAGACTAGTCCAAAAATGAAATTTGTCATTGTCTAGCTTAATTTGATCCAATAAAAGACATTTTGCACGTAGCTTTTGATTTTCGTGCTCAAGTTCGCTCACTTTGCTCTGCAAAGAAGTGAGCTCTTGCAAAATGTCATCGCTTAATTCTCTTGACTTGGGATCCACCTGCGACTTGCAGTAGTCATGCTCTTTCAATGGGTGTTCTATTGGTAAACAAGCTCCCCATATTTCATGATCATCAACAGATTTGAATGATTTTCTTGGGCGACCCCTACTTTCCCCCGATACCTGAGAAAATGATAAAAAGATATGTTGGAAATAGTGTTTCAAGTATAAAAACTCAAACAAAAAACACTTATCAAAGTCATCGTGAAGTACTTACACTGACTCGTTTGCGCTTTGGTTTTAGAGTTTCAATTGCAACGAAGTCATCTTTGTTTGTTTTTTGACTTGTTCTGGTCTTTCGACTTTCAATTTCCTTCTTGAACTCAAATATGGATGGATTGTAAGCCGAATGTGCAGGATCATCGGACTTTTCTCCTCCGACGAAGTGAGCTGAGCACAATCGAGTGTTGTCTGTTGGTGAAAAATCTTGTCGGCGAATTCTATTTAACCAAGCATTTCTTCGCTTAGATTCTTTCGGAATTCTGTAAAACTTGAGATTTGGGTTTCTTTTCCGATTATTTGAGCAGCTTGGAGCACAGCAAAAGTCGTTTTTTCCCATGTAAATTACGATGATATATAAGAGTTTTGCAAACAGATATGGCGTCCTTAGCTTTGTTGTCAGACTGGTTACCCCCCAAGGCGCAAGGGATTATGGGGATGTGAAAGAAGAGAATGAGCTGATTTTGGTTCCCCGAGGCTCAGTTTGGATGCGTTGATGGCGTCGTCCGAACGAGGGTGGGTTACACTGGAGGATCTAAGTTGTTTCCGACCTGCACAAGCCTGTGAGCATTAAAGTTACCAGCCAATGGTAGACTTGTTTGAAAAGTGAAATATCTCCTCTTGCTTAATGCTTTTGAGAGAAATCGAACAGTGTTAAGTAAAAGTAAATTTCACTTTTCCTTTACTTTATTGCATAATAACTTTTAATTACTCGATCGTCATAGCTTCGTGATATTTTCGATGGGCTAAACTTCAGAATACCCGGCCACATCATTTCCATGTCATGGTCGTATCGACACCATAAGTGGTTCACATCATCTTTTAATGAGAATTTGCTGACTTATTTAATATTCCCTGATAATAAGACTTTTAGAGTTCGGCTGAGAGTTTCTAAAGAAACTGTGGTGCTACGTCGGTGGGGGTAACAAGGCTATATCAACTAAGTTGAAATTGTAAATTGGCCACCATAACGAATAAAAACGTCTGCTTTTTTATTCGTTACGGTGGCCAATTTACAATTTCAACCTAGTAACTTGATGTAACCGAGTTACCATTTAGAGTTTCCATGACTCCCCTTGTCAAAGTCTGCACTTTTTTCTCTGGTTCACCATTTTGATTGGGGAACCAAAATCATCATCACGAAAGACAATCTAAAGGACAAATTTATAACTACCGTAGTTATTCATCTATAAGCCGAGCGATTTTTTCACAAAACTTCACCAAAATCTCGAAAATTTGAGCTAAAGAAGGGTTATTGGCTTATAGCCGAGTGTTTTTCCAAATGTGATTTTTCTGAAACAGCAAATTCAAAAGAAACAAAGATATATTCTTCTATAAGCCGAGATATTTGCGTGTAGAAATTAATAACAAAAGAAGTTGAAGTGCGTCATTGTCTTTATTTATGTGGTGGCTTCCAAAAGTGCCATTTGTTGATTTTGGTGCGTGGTAAATACGGCTTACTGTGCGTCCTAAGTCAGGTTGGCATTGAATTTGTCGTCCATCTCCTCCTCATCTGCTAGTTCTGCTGTTTCTTCTGAGTAGATTGCTTCATCTTCTGTGCTGTCTAGAGTGTTAGAGATTCTGCAGGTTTTGAATGAGTGTGTAGATCGTGGGAAAGTGATTTGATCATTTCGAAACTGAACAAATTATTTTGCTCTCACGTAAAAAGAAAACTTACCTTGGCTTCTCTACTCTGTAAACCAGTCAAGTAATCTCTCATCCAGTCACGGATATTTTGGTGTGTAATGGCCCATCGTTGTGCATTTCGCTAACATCTTGAGCTTTGTATTAAAGAGGTTCTCTTGATCTTTCCTCCAGTGGTGAACCATAGACTCACTCAAGACGTACTTTCTGGTTATCTCGGAATTGTTTTCAATGGCAATACTGCATTGAAACACTTTACTGGTTTGAAACTTTTGCATTCATTTCAGTTTGTTCGAGAATGGTCTCGGCTATAAGCTGAGTATTATTAATTTACATGTTTTAAGAACCTTCCTGTTTAAAACAGACTGAAGTTTGGGGACTTGGCTTATAGATGAGTTATAGACGAATAAATACAACAGATGGAATAAATATTAGAAGGATCAGAAAATTAGAAAAAACAAATTTCAGCCAATGTTGTTCTAAAGACTCCAATCATAGTTTGGGAAAGATGAGGTAAATGTTGAAATAAACAACATTGAGATTGTTATATGTATATTGTCCTTCTGGGGCCAGGGTTAGGTTAGGTTATTGTCCTTCTGGGGCTGGGGGATTGCTAGGTTAGTAAATAGATATTATATGGCACTAGGACTAAAGTTCTTTATTTTGAATTTGGTGGCATTCGAGAACAAATATCTAAGGCTTATGACTGATTCTATGGAATGATCCATACAACAAAATCCTGACCAAGTGGGAACCAAATCAGGGTGTTCCTTGCCATTTAGTCATTTCATTTATTTCCTTTAACTTGTTCTTTGTCAGTGGGGACCATACAGAAACCTTGGAGTTGGAGTATAACCCAAACTGTACAACTTACAAGGATCTGCTGCTTTTTTTTTGGAAAAATCATGACCCTACAGCAGTCCACAAAGCTCAGTACATGTCAGCCATATTTTATCACGATGAGGATCAAAAACAACTTGCAGGGGAGACTTGTGAGGAACATCAGAAGACAATCAAGAGGAAGATAGTAACAAAGATCCTTCCAGCAAACACATTCTATGTAGCTGAACAGTAAGTGTTTTAATTCCAAATTTTTCTGTTACAAATCACCATGATCTTTAATGATATGAACCAAACAATTAACAGTATTCCAAGCTCAAGGTTTTTCAAGTTGCCATTTTGACACCAAAATTCAGAAAATGGTCCCCAGAAATAAACCTTTCTTAAAAAATATTTTGGATATATCAACAAAGTTGAAATGGTAAATTGGCCACCGTAACAATTACAAAAGCTGACGTTTCGAGTGTTAGCCCTTCGTCGGAGCGAATAGGGGAATTGTGGGTTGTGTGTGCTTTTAAAGGCAGAATAAAATAACAAAATAACATAACGTAGCTCCATTTTCTGCCTTTAAAAGCAGTGCACACACAACCCACAATTCCTCTATTTGCTCCAACGAAGGGCTAATGCTCGAAACGCTAGCTTTTGTAATCGTTACGGTGGCCAATTTACCATTTCAACCTTGTTGATATATCCAAATTATTTTGTTACCCCCACCGACATAGCCCCAAACAGTTTCTTTAGAAACTATCAGCCTTCTTTCTTAATTAGTGGTGCTTTGGACACTTTAAATTCTATTTTTCTTACTGAACTGCTGTTCATTTCTTTTTCTTTGAAATATGGAATTTGGCCATAATATGGAAAACTGTCATCCTAGAAGGTTTACCCAAGATATTCAGATGTAAGAGTAACACTTGTACAAATGAGGAGAAAGGGAAAACAAAGCAACAGCAATTATATTTTGGGTACATTTTTACCACCAAGAGCAGTGTTGTTCAAAGCTGGGTTATGATAACCCTGGGTCAGTGTGAAATCTTTTTCCAGATCTGAGAGCTTCAAATGAAAGAAAACTCAGCACAATTTTTTAATGACTACAATTTGATGATTGGATGCCCTTTTTTTATGAGAATAGAGAAAATCATCTGAAAAGGCCTTTGACAAAAGGAATAAAGAAATCCAGATTGAATTTAACCCGGTGAGTACTGATCAGCCATTAAACAACTGGGCCCAGCAGGATTACATTGAGATAGGTATTAGCAAACAGTTGTAAAACCTGACAAAATTTTGTTTGGGGAGGGGGGGCAATTTGTCTTGTGTTGTACTCGCATCCCATCCAGGAAAGTAACAGAACTCTTAGTTGCTTTGTTTGGATAAGGTCCAGCATCATCAGGGGCTCTTGATTCATGTCAGAAGACTTTTACCTGACTTATGTTTTACTTGTTTTCAAAAGATTTTAAATTATGTAGACCCCAGATATTTCAAACTTTGCACTACCTACTTTCGTTGACTTTGGTTGATGTATCACCTACTTAGGTAATTGTTACCTGCCAGGGGACGCCTTAAGTCATTATGCCTGACTACAGTATTCAAGTTATTTATTTCCATTGACAGTTTTAATCATTAGGAATTGCGTGGCTGAGTGGTTAGGGTGCTGGACTTGAAGTCTGGTGGCCCAGGTTCAAGTCCTCCACCCTGCCACTCACTGGATTTGTTCTTGGTTGCTCCTAGTTCAACTCCTCGGCTGCGCTCTGTAAATAGCTCCCTGGTCACCTCCTGCCAGTGAGGATTTTTAAGCACTTAGTTAAAACTACATTGTGGCTGAAAAGCCCCTATGGGGGAGCCTCAATTAATGTATATTATTATTATTATTATTATTATTATTATTACTATTATTATTATTATTATTACTACTATTATTATTATTATTATTATTACTATTAGGTGATGAGCTGATATGAAGGTAGTCAGCTGCATTTTCCAGATTTGGTCATTAGAATTTAAAGAGCAGATGATATTTTAAAATTGAAATGCAATCTTTGATATTCTGTTTTAGGTACCATCAAAAGTACATGCTGCGTCAGCACCCCTTGTTGTTGAAATGTTTGAGTCTAAATGATGAAGAACTGAAGAAGTCTCGTGTTGCAGCTCATTTAAATGGTTATGTTGGAGGATTTGGTTCCATAAAGAGCTTTGACGCTGAAGTGGACAAGCTAAAATTTGGTAATCAACAAGAGAAATGGTGAAAGAGATCATAGAGAGAGGAAAATTCTAAAATCACAACCTTAGTTGAGAAAGACTCATAGGAGTTTCAGCTCTTTGTTATGATTTGTCAGGATTTTTTCTTCCTGAACATTTTAGCCTAGATTGAATTTCACACTGGATGTTTATAAACCATGTTAATTTTTGCCATTGTTAACCGTTTTCATTCCTTTTTTAGTCAATTGTTACCTTGTTGGTGTTTGTCTATCTCAGTAAATGATTCTTTCAATTTTTCATGACACTGTGATGATTCTCTTTGACATTTAAACTGGCACCAAAGATATTTAGATGTAGAACATTGTTTGTCAGCAAAACCTTTACTTTGGAGTACTGCACTGAATTAAGCTTACAACCATCACTTGTCAGTACCAAGTATTGATGCGAGCTTACTTTGTGATCTGTGTCATGACCCACTGTTTATGAAGTCCTGTAGTTTAAACTAGAAAATTTTGTACAGGATGGATGATGTGAAATTACTGTAGGTAGCCTTGAGTCTACTTAGTGTTAATTGTAGATGGCAAGATTGAAGCTTGTGCACCTGTATTATTATAAGGTTCTAGAAGAAAACTTGAGCATCAGAATACTGAGGTTTTTTAAGTTGGATTATTTATAGGTTTAATTTCTGAACAATGGATGGCCCCTGAATTGATAAAGAGCTGTTTGTTTTCAATTCAGTGTTGAAAAAACCAAAACCAAAGTAATAACATGGACAAATCAGAACACACATAAACAATATCATTGGTAAATGAGAATTCAAAGGAAAAACAGGCAAACTGCTTGAAGAGTGAGAAAATGTGAATGACCAAGTCATGATTGTTTTTAGTTTTGCTTCTGATTAGTTGAGAGGATTGTGCCAGTTTTCTTCACCAAGAACAGAAGCAAAGTTGACTGAAACTAATGCAATGCTTGATTAATTTCAAAACTCAACTGAAAACTGTTATCACAATCACACCCACTGCATTCCTGATCCTTTGAAATGCCAGTTACCACTAATATTATCACAGCAATGGACATTTTATAAGAGAAATGTCTGGCATTTTATATGGATAGAACTTAAACCGACACCTCTTTGCCCGTGTCGCTTTACTTTCATACTAACCCATCTGTTATCTTTGATTTGGGCCACTTCAGCTAAATATGGGTAGGGACATGTGATGCTAATACTTAGGAATGAAGCCCCACCAGAAAAGAATGGGGGAGCAGAGGGGGGTCCAGTTGAAAATTTAGGCTCATCCTTGCAATGTTAGAGATTCATTCTCAGTGACAGGGGTAAGATTTGAGTTATCTGATTTTTGTTTATCTTCAATTGTTTTTGGCAGTGTGGCATCATAAACTACATCTATGCATGTGGGCAGGTGCAGATCTAGGGAAGGGGTGGCCACCCCTCCCCTACATGTGATGATTTAAAGCTTTCTAGTATAACTACCCAGTTATGCAAAATCTGATAGTTTGTTTGCTATGTATTCTTAGCAGTTCACATATTATTGCTTATAGTCAAGCCTTTTCTTATGTAGTTGGCTTTAAAAATTTGTTCACATCACCCATCAGTTACATAATTCCTTAGAAACCTTGGATCCCCCTGATAAACTCTGTACTAGCTGGGCTAAGTGATCCAAGTGGGGCTCAGTTTTTGTGGCAAGGCATGAAGTAGGAAACAATGATACTAAATATTCTGTAAACCATAAGCTCATTTGACAGTTGCTGTAAACAAGACTGGGTACTGCACTGAAAACAAATGGATTGAAGGATGTGCACACGTAAGAATCCGCCTCCTGGTTGGCTCATTTGGTTAGAGCGCTGGATTGTGTTGTGTGAGAGGTCGAGGGTTTGAGCCCTGGCCGGACCATTACTCATGGTCTTAAAATAATTGAGGAGAATTTGGTACTTTTCTATAATATCAAGAAATGGATAGATATTCTAGTCTTCTAGGATAAGGACGAATAAACGGTAGGCCCCGTCTCCTGCAGGGTTAGGGGTAGCAGACATTAATTTCCCATGCATGAGATTACTATGTGGTGGNGGTTTATCGGGCCCGCAGTAATTGGTGCAAGCTGTTGCAGTGTCCCTGCCTGTTGGCGAAGCTAACAAACTATACTAAACTAAACTAGAATCCCTTATGGTTACAGCCAGTAACAACACCAGGTTGACTATGCACAACACCTAAAGCAAAGACACCACTCACAAATGCATAATCAACAAGTCACTTTATAATTATCAGAAAGCCTATCTTTGTTACAACTTTAAATGTTATACCTTACTAAATCACCACAAACACATTTTGAGCCATGCACACCCACAATTGCATGTTAATACCTTTATAGTATTTTACACTTTAAAACTAAGTACAATATAATGCTAAGAAACCAAATTTGCAAGCTAATGAATTGAAGTCTCATTGTCTAGCTCCAACCATAATTTTTCACAGAATTAGTTTGCTGGTCTCATTAACACAAAGCTGCAACTAGGCCATGGTAATTTTAATTGTTTCCTTTTTTTCCTTCTACACGGCGACCTTGAAATGACTTGTTCTTTTCACACCTTTTAGTGCCCAATATAGCATATCTTCACCTTGATCTGTAATGTAGTTACAAATAAGGTCTAAGTTAATGAGTTTACAGTTTGGGTCTTTAAGTGCAGAGCACAGTTGTGGTATGAAATGATCTGTTAACATATTGTCCCCTATTGACAGCTCAATGAGTTTGCAATTGTTGTGTTTGAGTGAAAGGCAAAGCTGTGATGCACCATCATCTGTCAATCGGGTATGGCCTAGGTTCAACAGAGTGAGTTTACAATTTTCATCCCTAAGTGCATCACAGAGATGTATTACACCTTCATCTGTTCCCTCGCTTCCCTCAAGGTTCAACTCAGTGAGGTTACAATTTACATCTTTAAGTGCATCAGACAAATGTAAAAAATCTTCATCTGTTCCCAGGGAGTAGCCACCAAAGCTAATTGTCAACTTAGTGAGTTTGCAATTTACATGTCTAATTGTACCAAAAATATGTGAAAAACCATGGCCCACTTTACCAAGGAACAACTCTGTGAGTTTACAATGTACATCTTTAAGTGCATCACACAAGTAAAATAAATCATCATCCCTTAAGCCAGTTCCTCTGAGATCAAGCTTCACAAGTTTACAATTTTCATCTCTAAGTGCATGATATAATGGTAACAAAGCAATTTGTTCAAAATTCCATAAATCCCCTCCATTCAGTGATTCAATCAATTTGTCAATTGAAAATGGGTGTAGGGTTTTGCCATTCATAGAAAGGTCCAACTGGACAAGCTTACAATTTTTATCCATGAGTGCACTTTGCAGGTAAGGAATACCATCCCCTGTTATCTTGTTAAAACTTAGGTCCAAATTAGTAATTGAACAATTTTCATCTTTAAGGGCATCACATAGGTGTACTAGACCTTCATCTGCTACCTCATTGCCACGAAGATCCAACTCTGTAAATTTACAGTTTTCATCTTTAAGTGCATCACACAGGTGAAATACACCTTGGTTACCAAGTTCGTTTGCTCTAAGATTCAGTTTTTTAAGTTTACAGTTCACATTTTTAAGTGCAACACACATGTATGAAGCACCAAGGAAAGCTATCATGTTACCACAAAGGTCCAATTCGGTCAGTTTACAATTTACATCTTTCAATGCTTCAAACAAGTGGGAAACACCCTGGTCTGCTAGATCAGTTTCACTAAGATCCAACTTTTCAAGTTTACAATTTGCATCTTTGAGTGCTTCACTCAGTAGAGAAACACCTATATCCCCTATACCATTGCCACCAAGATCTAACTCAGTGAGTTTACAATTTACATTTTTAAGTGCATCCTGCAAATGTGATGCACCTTGGTATGTTATGTAGTTACCACCAAGGCATAACTTAGTGAGTTTACAGTTTACATCCTTTAAAGCTTCACTGAGGTGTGAAACACCTTGGTCCTTTATCTCATTGCTATTGAGGTCTATCATTGTGATTTTTCTTTGTCCATCTCTAAGTAAATTGCACAGGAGTGAAACACCTCGGTCTGATATCTTGTTAGAAGACAGGTCTAACTCCATGAGGTTGTACAGCTTCTCAAGAAAGAACACAATTGCTGCACAGTCAACCGGTGTTATTCTAGAAAAGGATAAATCTATCTTATTGTTGAAAATTTTGTTTTTCCGTAGATCTGAAGCTGCCTTTTCCACAATTGTAACATCGTTGTACTCATGCAAACATTTCAACATAAGAACAGCTTTTAGGTTAGATTTACCCCTCAATGGATACTCCTCTGTTAAAGAGTCACAGAGGAGGCTTACAAAACTGTTGACAGCATCATTTGTTTGTTCACGTAGCAGGCCTGCTATAAACTGAATCACCAGATGCCACTTTGGATCTGAAGCATTTGCGAGGATGAAATTGCTTAGGTTGGTAGGATTCATCTTCACAATTTCTTTGGCAGCAAGAAACTCCTGGAGAGTCAAATGAATGAAACAGAATTGGGACTTCAATCTGAAGGGAAGAACTTCACGATCAGGCATGCGATTGAACAAACCACAGTCTTCTACTCCTTTCATCTCCACCGAGTCAAACATCAGTCGCCTCTCCTGTATTCCTGTTTTTGCCAATGATCCAACCTGGTTCAAAGTTTCCTCAACTTGATCAGGGAAGCCTGTCTTTCCCAGAAGATAATCCTTAGTTAACAACTTTGCCTTAAATTCTGGGTGATGCTTGAAAATGAACAGCCTCAGAGCTCCTTCATAGATGTCAGTTGAAGTTGCTGGTAAAGTACTTCCTGGATGTTGTTGAAGTTTAATCAACTTTTCTAGAAGGGAACAGATAATAAAACTGTTGACAGGAATGTAACACAAAGAGAGCAGTTCTAAACTGCTGCTGACATGATCCCATATTCTGTTCATTGTCTCTAGGTCATGTGCACAGAATTTCTGTATATATTCCTGGACTTTCTCTGGGGTAAATCCCATAATCTCCAACTGTCTGTCAAATGGCAAATGTGCAAAACTCTGCACAACATTTGGTCGACATGTAGTCAAAACTGTGGCCCCTGAAAGTTGCTTTCCTTTCATCAGCTTCACATAAAGTGCAGAAAATGGCATTTCTTCAGTTGCACTGTTTCCAGCATGTGCTCTTTCATCCTCGAGAATGCGTTCATGGTACTTAAACTCATCCAAACCATCAAATATGAGTAGCACTCGCTCAGGGTTGTCTAAAATATATTGGAAGACTTCACTGTCCATGCTTCCTTCTGAATACAAACGACTCAACAACTGCTTGAGAGATATTTTTTTCATTGTCTCGGTATTAAACCATCTGAATTGGAACATAAACAGATGCTCAAAGATTTTGTCACTGCCACGCAAAAGATCACTCTTGCTCCAGTCACGCGACAATTTCGTGCAAAGAAGAGACTTTCCGATGCCGGGGCGACCAACCACGAGAATTTTACGGGGATCTCGAGTATCTTCATTAGGAAGAAAAAGCTCGTTAACCTTCTTTACAGCTATTGATCCACACCGGGGCTTCAAATATATATCAAATATTTCATGTCTTTTCAACAAGTCAGCAAATTCGCCACATGCTCTTCCAGTGTAAATAACAAGATCGACAAATGCGTCATCTAAATATCTGACTTGTTCGATTTCTGGTTGCCCAATCAAAGGTTCCATAATTTCAGTCTCTTCGCGCATTCGACTCCTCATTCGAAATGTCGACTCGCGCAGCGCGACAGGGTTCCTGCCCTTGCTAAAAAAGTGTCTCTCACAGAATTCGGAGTCGAACATGAACTGTTTCTTCTGTACTGCTCGCACTGCAAGGTAGCATATCTCTCCAGATATAAGCAACGTAAACAGAATGTTCGCTATCCAAATTCCCCTCGCGTAGACGGCATTGTCAGATGCAATGGAATTGTCACAGTCGATGGCCAAGGAACTTTCTTCGGTCGCATTAACATTCGTGGAATTTGCTGTCCGCTTTACTGTAGGAGAAAAACAAACAAATTCTGCTGGAAATCCACTTGGATAAAACACAAAGTTCTGCAAGGTAATGAACAAAATCCCCAACAAAACTCGCAAAACAAGGTGAAGAAAATAAGACCAGAACACTCGGCGGGTTTTCAGTCTGGGCCGACGGCGAGGGTTTTCCTGGTCTGGCTTCAAGGCGATTTCAATCTCATCGACTCGCGATTTTACAAAGCACCACGAGTAGGTGATACACACAGCCAAAAGAGACGCAAAACACAACAGAACAAATCCATAGAATGGCAAACCAGAGTAGATCTGTTCCTCATATTTCCTTAGACAGTCGTCACGAGAATCATGAGAGGACGGACAGCTAAATCTTCGACGCTCACTCGTTCTCAAGACTCCAGCGGCAGCGGCAAGCGCTATTAAAGCCAGAAGATGAAAAACTGCGACAATATATCCAAAAGGACTGAAGTATTTTGCGAGTAAATACTCCTTCACGCCGTCCATTTAAAACTTCTCATGGCCGGGATGAACAACAGTCACTGCATAAAGAACTCACGTGACGTGAAACATCCACATATATATTTTAATACTCTTTAACGCTATTACACATCAAGAAGAGATAAAAGAAAAAAATTTAAACATAGCTAATAAAAGTAATAAATAAATAAATAAAATATGCAATTAACAATATAGCTATACTTAGAAATAAAAACTTAAAAAAATTTTGTACTACAAAAAGCTGAATAATTAAGTGATCTAGTTCCCACAGGCTCTTACGTCCAGCGGTTATTCTCTTCAACAATAGAGCTTCCCGCGCGTGCGAGGCGACACAATTAGAAGCCGAATGTCTCACGAGGAAAATGAAATTAATACAGATATTGACCCTATTGAGGTCATTATAGCCGCTGGGGCAACTCTTAATAGAAGCAGAACCTTTATTGATTTATACCGCTCAGGGTAGCCCCTTCAGATGCAAAAAGCTGTCTGTTATCAATGGGAGCCCTGAACAATGTACCAAAAATTATAGTATACATATGCATTACGCTGATACTGATAATAGTATAGATAGAAAACTATGTACAAATAAAAGATTTAGAAGTAAATAGATACGAAAAACCATCAACATACTTCGTTAAAAAGAGTGCAACCATAGAAAAATCGTTTTGCGATCTCAGTCCTCACAGAAGGCGGATGTTAAAGGTTACTTTGTCTAGTGGCGCGCGCGTAGATTATATTATTACGTTTAAAATATTATTTAAATTATTGGGAACATTGACTTTGCAGACATTTGTTAACGAGTTTAAAAGCAGATTTACGACGGCGCTCCTCCAGCGTGGGCTATTTCAGAACGTCCATTGCCGGGTTGCTGCGCACAGCTCTTGCGATTGTTCTGGCACCCCGTTTTTTGAGGGCTTCAAGGCCTTGTTTGTGACCTTCCCCGCAGCAAAATAATATATATAATATATATGTAATAATAGTCCTGCAAGAGCTTCAATTTTTAGAAAGTGAAAAATTCATGTCAATGAAGGCATATACAAACAACGAGAAGCGGTAGCTCGACCCTGTCCTCAGGGAAAGGAACTGAAACAACGCTTGGGATCGCGTTAAAGACTATCCAAAACGTCATTAGAAAATACTTTCTATTATTAGTTACGTTGAGATTATGTTGATCACAACAAATTACACATTTACACATACAACGTCATGTTTTGAGTAGTAATCTAGAATAAAATGACGCTCAAAAATAACAAACTTTTTTAAATTTGGGTGGCAACTTTTATTTTTGAGCAACTTTAGTCAGAGCAACTTTTGGGTGTACTGTCAAGCAACTTTCCTGGATTTACTAACACAATCTATTCATGCCTAGAAGCCATGTTTTAAAATCAAAATTTAAAGGATAGGATAGGAGATTCTGGCACACAAACCAGTCCTTTTTGTTCTTTAGCCCTTGGGGCCCGTTTATTGAAAGTTCCGTTAAGTTAACGGGTCCGTAAAGCTGTTCTATTTTCGTTCAAAATGGGGATTTCAAAAGTTTTGAAAACGATACAATAAAAAAATCAGCTAAAGAAACTAATAAAGGACTGGTCTGGGTGCCAGAAACTGCTTTCCTATCATTTAAATTTTGATTTTACATGTAAAACATGGCTTCGCCGGGCCGTTAAGTTACCCGGACGTTCGAGAAACGGGCCCCAGGGCCCCAGGGCCCCAATCCCTTGTCAAGGTAGACCTCATAACAATAACAAAGAGTCTGGAACCAGCATTCTCATGACATCATTCCTACTATGTCGCGCGGGTCAGCACTACTGTCAGCAGTTTTTAGATCATTCCGGTCGATTTCGCTCATCAAGACGGGGAATACACTTGGCAGTGCGATTGAAACTGTGAGGCCACCTCCTGAAGACATGGCAGATGGCGAAACACTGACGGCAACTTTTGCCATGAGCTGATTTTGGTTCCCCGAGGCTCAGTTTGGATGCGTTGATGGCGTCGTCCGAACGAGGGTCGGTTACACTGGAGGATCTAAGTTGTTTCCGACTTACACAAGCCTGTGAGTATTAAAGTTACCAGCCAGTGGTAGACCTGTTGAAAGCGAAATATCTCCTCTCGTGTAATGAAATCGAACAGTGTTAAGTAAAAGTAAATTTCACTTTTCCTTTACTTTATTGCATAATAACTTTTAATTACTCGATCGTCATAGCTTCGTGATATTTTCGAT